GATGAGATGGGGTTGAACAAAGCCACCCTCACCTCACTAGCCTGAACCAATCACAGGGCAAAGGAGAGGGAAGCTGAGGGCTGCATGGACACTGAGGGCCGGCAGGGAAGAAGAAAGGAGAAGGGACCTCCCTAATCCATTGTCTCCTCAGGCCAGGGGTGCTGAAAGAGCCCAAACTGATGGGAGCCATCTCCTTCTTCATCTTCTTCTTCACCCTCCTCATCCTGGCTCGGCAGGTAAGCCACCCAACTCGGTGCTCCAGGTTTGTGTGAATGCTGAGACCTGGGTCCTCATATCTGTGCCTTGGTCTCCCTCACATTCGCTCTTAGCCCTGCATTTTCAGAATTTAGTCCAAATCATGGGCCCACTGGAAGCATTTACGTGCTTCTTTTATTTCCTTGTTACCATCCAAGAAGAGGGCCCTCAGATTCTCCTTACCTGTACAATATGCAAAGCCCATACTTAAAGAAAAATCCTCATGTGGTGCATGACCTAGTTTCAAAGGCACTTACTCTGTCCCAGGGATGTTGCAGTTTAAGGACTGGTTCTCTCTGTGTAGTTAGGGGAGGAGGCAGACCTGGGCATCGGGGAGTGGGGCAAGAACACACAGGTGCTGGCCCCTCCCTCTGCTGTGTGTCCCTCTGGCCTCTGGTCATCCATCCATCCCCCAGAATGAGTATTACTGCCGTCTGGACTTCCTGTGGAAGAAGAAACTGAGGCAGGAAAGAGAGGAGACAGAGACTATGGAGAATCTGACTCGGCTGCTCTTGGAGAATGTGCTTCCTGCACACGTGGCCCCCCAGTTCATTGGCCAAAATCGACGCAATGAGGTGACTCCTGTGCCCCAGATAAATGTAGAGTCTACTTTTGGAGCACAATGTGGGACCTTGGCCCATCCTCTCTGCACTCCCCCCAGAGTAGTCCGGGAGTCATTGTCCCTGACAGATGCAACATCTGTGTCTCGAGTTCTTGAAACTTGGAAGGAATATCTTCCAATCTTTGGCTATGCCATACCATTTAAGGTGTTCTGGTGGCCTCGTAAGTAAGGCGGGCCATTTAATTCACCTGTTCCTCCAAGAGAGAAAGATAGACAGTCTCCTCTTATGAGATTTACAGCCTCTGAAAACCTGCTGGAGGATCAGCTATAAGTTGGTTCCAACTCAACAGAAGATAACAACCTCTACCATTCAGAAGTGTAATTTGTGTTAGTGAGGGTTTTCTGGAAGTTACAGCTCAGTCATCTCTCTAGATCTGAACTTTTCAGTATGGTAGCCACTATCCATATGTGGTCTTTATTCCCAAGTCCCATCCTCAGATTAACCTGCCTCTGTCCTCCTTCCCAATCCATCCTAAACAAGAGACAGAGTGGGAATATAGGGAGGAGGACCCTACGCAAATCCAGAAGGAGGAAGAGGTGACATTCACCCCTCACCCCAGCCTCCTGCCCTCTCTAGGACCTCTACCACCAGTCCTATGAGTGTGTTTGTGTCCTCTTCGCCTCAGTCCCAGACTTCAAGGAGTTTTACTCTGAATCTAACATCAATCATGAGGGGCTGGAGTGTTTGCGACTGCTTAATGAGATAATTGCTGATTTCGATGAGGTGACAATCTTCCCTTGTTTCCCCTCTGCTCTGATTATCCAGCTAGGGCCCCCATCCACTTTGGGCCCCTCCACTAACTCTCCTACTGCGACTACTTCCCACTCTGGTCCTTAAGCCTTGAAAGACCTGGGATTGGGCTTCTGGGAGGAAGAAGCAGGAGAGCTTAAAAGAAATTAGACACAGCCTTCTGTCTCTATAGCTGCTTTCCAAACCCAAGTTCAGTGGGGTGGAGAAAATCAAAACTATTGGCAGCACCTACATGGCGGCCACAGGTTTAAATGCCACCTCTGGACAGGATGCACAGCAGGTACCGCCTCCCTTCCTTACCTACCAACCTCCATCCAGACTTTCATTGGTGGACCTGTAAGTGGAACTTACTCCTCTCCTCTCATTGGCCCATCATGGTGGATGGCCCATTGCCAGGATGCTGAACGAAGCTGCAGCCACCTTGGCACGATGGTGGAATTTGCAGTGGCTCTAGGATCTAAACTGGATGTCATCAACAAGCACTCATTCAACAACTTCCGCCTGCGTGTGGGTAAGGGCACAACTCCCCTGCTGGGGCTGTCAGCACCTCCTTGCCTTCTCAAGGCCAAGTCCTTCGTTAGCTGCTTCCAGCTCATCTCTAGATCCTCCTCTGTATGTGTCCCACAGGGTGGGGCATGAAGTTGCTGGGTCCAAAGCTATAAGGCTACTAACTACATACCCTAAGACACACTCATCCAACCACAGAGAATTCTCCTGCTCTTTAAGACCCTTGCCCTTCTCCTCAGTTCCTGAGCTTCCCTTGCCTTCTCTTTCCTGGAAGGTCTCACTCTCCCAAGACACTTTCTCTTCTGTTCCCCTTATCAGGATTGAACCATGGACCAGTAGTGGCTGGTGTAATTGGAGCCCAAAAGCCACAGTATGACATCTGGGGCAACACAGTGAATGTGGCCAGTCGCATGGAGAGTACAGGAGTGCTGGGCAAGATCCAGGTGAGCCACACTGGAGGCTCAGGGGGTCAGGAACGAAAGAATAATAGGGCCGTCACTTTCATCCACACTCCCTCATCTCCCTCCCATTGCAGGTGACCGAGGAGACTGCCTGGGCCCTGCAGTCTTTAGGATATACCTGCTATAGGAGGGGCATCATCAAAGTCAAAGGCAAAGGACAGCTCTGCACCTACTTCCTAAACACAGACCTGACACGCACTGGACCCCCCTCAGCCTCTCTAGGCTGAGAACCTCACACACACACACACACACACACACACACACACACACTTCCCTTGTCTCCATTGCAGAGATGCTCAATAAAAAAGATAAAAAAGATTCTGGTGTGTCTGGAACCAACTGATACCAGACGCTGCTGGTAAAGCTAGAGATTATCTTCTTGCCTTCAGAATGACACCTAATCCAGGCCATGCCAAGTGTTCCTGCATGTGAAGATGCCAGTGTAAGTGTGGGTGGTGAGGGTGCCGGTGTGAATGTGGGGAAGAAGGTGCCAGTGTGAGCAGTGGTGATGAAGGTGCCAGTTGGGGGGGATGATGAAGGTGCCGGTGTGAGCAGTGGCCAGTGTGTTGGAAGAGAGTGGTTCTACTTGCAAGCTAAGAAAGAGGACTGCCCCAGCCTTCCTGCCTACCTGCCAGCTTGATTTCAGTATTTTGTACACCTTTGAAGCCTAAGGTTCAAAACATGAATTTATTCTTTCAGTGCTATCACTAACAAATACTGGAGGCACTCTCTGGGAAAATGCCCCTCATTCATCCAGCAAACATTAAATAAGCATGTGCTTACATACAACATGATCTAGAAGTCTGGGAAGTAATCTACTAGATCTGTTTTCAGCTTATTTTATCAAATGGTCCACCAAGCATTCTGATGAATACCTGGAGACAATCTGAGATGCCTCCTGTTCTCAAGTCCATCAGATATCCCACCCCTTGCTTTCTTCTGCATCCTTCTGCACAGACACTTAAATCATGCAGGTCTTGGAATATCGAGGGCCTCTTCCCACCCTCTCATATTTTGAGGTTCTCAGGCTACTCAGCCCCCTAAGTTTGTTGTAGATATTGCACATGGATATGGGGGTTTGCTGCCCTGCTTGCTCTCTCTTTGAGAGATTTCAAAACCTCAGAGAAGTTCCATTGCTGCTTTCATCTTCCCACAATGTTATCAGAAGAGAGCTGGGCTGAAGAGCTTTGAGAGAACAGTTACTTCTGGGAAATAACAACTCATTCCTCTCACTTTGGGAAATCTTTATTCCCTTGTCATGACCATGACCATAGAAGGTTCTTAATCCCACGTACTGTCGGGGTATGTGGGTATGGGGTAGCTGGAAAAAGATATATGAATTCTAGGTAATAAGATCTGATGATTTGACTCTCAAATGAGGCCTGTCTGGGAGGTAGAGGGAAGGATGGGGATTCCCTAGACCATCTCCTGCGGAGAGGATGAAGATTACTGGCAGGAAGTTGGAAAGTCACACTAGCAAAGATACCTATCACAGGCTTCAGAATAGTGCATGGGTTTCTCAGAAGGTCCCCTGAGTCAGACATTTTGAAGTGGTGAGCCCACATGGGGTGGTCTTCTTTGGTCAGCTCCTTTAAGGAGATTTCTTGATCTCTAGACCTGAGCTTTATCAAAGTACTATCTGCAACCTAGGGAGCTCTTAGGTGGCTTATACGTAAGGAATTGTGCTGCCAAGACATATCTCCTCTTGTGTTTATCACCTTTGAAAACCCACCAGAAAGTCACTTCCTGGTGGGTTCCAACTCTACCATACTCAAAAACAGCAGGAATCTGCAAACTGACTCAGAATCAGCTGAGAAAGGTGGAGACCATGGCAGCTGAGTGTGTTTGACTAGGAAGGTAAAGGTTGATGGTTGGAATCCAGCCGTGGCAGCACAGAAGAAAGGCCTAGCGATCTGATTAGACACCCCCCCTCCCCCGCGAACAATCATGGAGCAGTTTGGTTTCGTGCACATGGGGTTGACATGAATCAAACATAATCCACTCCACTTCATCGGATTGAATTGTGTTGTTGTTGTTGTTGTTGCATTTTATTTTGAATTTGTTTTGTTTTGGCTTTCCAGAGTTGAAAGTCATGGGGAACAGAAACTGGGAAAGCCTCTCAGGGGGACCACCTGTGAGCATTCAGGTTCCCATCACACACATGGCCCACTCACGGGGTTCACCCCGTTTTAGACTTCAGTTTTAATTGGACAGCTGCCAGTAGAAGCCAGGTCAGAGCATGTTTTCTCAGTCAGCCGCCACTTGCCCCGCCCTCTTCTTCCGCTCCAGGACCCAGACTCATCCTCCTTCCTTGGGTTACAGAATTGGGTCAGGCCAAGGTGAGGGTACTCACTCCATCAGGTGGAAAGCTAAGCATTCTTCACCGCCTTCACCAAGGCTTAGTTCAGTTGTCACTCGAGGGGGTTGGTGGAGAAGTGAGGCTCTCCGCAGGACCAGGCTCAGGAGAGGTGGGAGCACCCTTGACGGTCTGGCCCAGAGTTCCTCCTCGTCGGGTGCTGTAAGCCTCTGAGCCGGTGGCCTCCAGCAATTTAGCAACGAAGCCCACCCCGGCCGTGCGCAGCAGGCCGCCGCCGGCGCACGCGTACAGCACCGGGTTCACGCTGCTGCTCAGGAAGGCGAGCGCGATGAGCACCTTGCGAGCCAAGGACAGCTTCAACCCCACGCTCCCAGACATGTATTTCAGGCCAGCCATTGCGCGGCTAGCCTCAGCCAGGTTCACTAAGTGGTAGGGCAGCCAGAAGGCGGCAAAGGCCAGGATGATGAGCACCACCAGGCGGCCGGTGCGGCGGCTGCGGCGGAAGCGCCGGGCCTGCAGCCTGCGTCCGATGTCGGAGTAGCTGGCCACCACGGCCAGAAAGGGCAGCAGGAAGCCCGTGATAGTCTCAAAGAGCAAGTGGAAGGCTCTGTGGCTTTCCTTGGGGTAGTCGACTGAGCAGTACTGGCTCTTGTTGTTATTCATCGGGGTCACCTTGCGATACACAAAGACAGGCGTGGCCAACAGCACAGATGCCACCCAGATGCCTGCCAGCACCCGACCAGCCATCGCCTTGGTGCGCAGCTTCTGAGACAAGAATGGGCGGGCCACTGCCAGCGAACGGTCCAGACTCATGGCCATGATAAGCAGGACGCTGGCGTACATACTGACACCACAGACGTAGAAGGAGAGGCGACAGCCCACTAGTTCAAAGTGCCAGGTGTTTTGGGCCAGGAAGGAAAGGAAAAATGGGGCTGTGAGCAGTACGGCCAAGTCGGCCAGAGCCAAGTTCAGCACCAGCAGCGCAGTGACAGAGCGCTTCCGCATTCTGGCCAGGATGCTCCACACTACGAATGCATTGCCAGGAAGCCCCACAACCAATGCCACTATTAGTAAAATTATGGCCAACGGACGGATGAAGAGACCTGGTGAAGATGGTGCTACAGATGTAGTGTTCATGGCCATTGCAAGGACCTGGGGAGCAAAAGTGGACACACCCATGAACATAGGGGACCAAAGGTTTCCTGGCAGCCTGGACTCACTTAGCCTGAGTACCCTCATCTGCTTGCAAGGTCAGAAGGCTCTCAGGCACCTAGCAAGGCACTGTCCCCTTCATTGCCAACTTTGAGGATCTGGTTTCCTAACAGGGCCGTGGGGCCCCTTCCTGACCACAGACCCACTTGCAAAATATTCAGCAGCAGCAACAATATTTCTAGAACCTTTCAGCCTCCTTCCATTAGGAGCCCTGAAGCCCAGAAACAAACGTCACCATTACTGCATCCCCCCAAAGGCTAGCTGCCCTGTCCACCTGCCCGGATCTTAATACCCTCAGTCCCATTGACTTCCTCAATCACCTATTCACTCTCCCGAGATGTCCAGTGTCTACCTCATTAGTGGACAGGCAGCGAGACAAGTCCTCCCAACTCCTGTTAGCACAAGGATCTCCTTGAACATTCTCTCATGGCAGTACCCATAACCACCACCACTCCCAGGATACTTACAGGCTTTGCCAGGTGCTGGTTGGAAGCTGGTGTCAATCCCAGTGTCAGAACAAGGTGATGTGGTCTATCCCTGGGTTCGTCCCAGTGCTAAGGGCTGAGTCCCAGATCTGGGTACTGTCAGCTTACTCAGCTAGAGAGGAAGTACTACAGAGTAGGAGGTGGGGGGAAGATACATCCTCCTGTGCTGGGGCTGAACCCCACCCCCTCCATTCACTGGCAGTGTTGGGGGGGGACACACTCCTGTGTTCCAGGAGTGTGGGGTGGAGAGGAGGAATCCTCAGGGGTGGAGCCAGATGAGAAGAGTCCAGGCAGGGGCAGTCAGAGAAAGCGGGGTGGGGGGAGTGAGTAGGCTAAGGTGTGGCCCTAAAATGCAGGTCTAGACTGGAGAATTGGACAGAGTAAAAAATTGTGTCATATAGGAGGAGGGAAGGAAGCAAGAGAGGCGAACAGACTCAGATTGAGAGGTCAGAATTCTGAGTAGCTTTGTGTTTTTTTTGTGATCAGAGTAGATTTTTAGATTAATAGGAAGTGTAGGTTGGAGATGTGGCTAGGCTCTGGGTTTGAGTTAGGTAACATCACAGCTTAAAGAAGCATGCCGATAAATGCTGAAGTGAGCAGCACTCAATCCCTGGCTTCAGTTTAAGCCGTGAGTAGGGGGTGGGGCAACCCAGAGTCCACTTCCAGCACCTCCTATCAGCCCCCCTTATGTCAGGGCACTGTTTACACACTCTAGGTCAACTAGTTCTCTGTTTTCTTTAATAGAAACCAGAGCCCAAGGAGTCTCCATCAGGCAGAATGCCGATTTCTTCCCCTTGCTGAGCGTATGTGCTCACCTGTGTGGCCTTCCTGCCAAGGTGTGATTTAAGATTTGGATGCTAGACAAGGAGGTGTGGCACCAGCTCTGCCCACCTTCTCACATCCTACCAACGGCTTTCACCTTAGTCACACGGAGGAAGAAAAGCCTGGGCCAAGCATGGAGGGCAGGAGTGAAGGAATGAGAGCAGTGATGTCCCAGCACGCCCTGCCGGGAAGGGAAACCAGACACAAGGAATGCACTGCCACAGACTTTAAGGTCTTTCCTCTAACTTGCGAACCTTCATTGCTTCACTTCTAACACCTTTCTTCCCTGGCCCTTCTCAGGAAAGACTCCAGAGTCCCCAGTCACTCCACTTTAAGAAAAGCCAGAGCAGAGGTGACCCAGGAGCTGTCATGCAGAGGATATGATGAAAAGAAATGGGCTGAAACCACAGCAAGAACTGAGATCAGAGTTGAGGAAGGGCTTTCTGACCACACAGAGTGAGACGGGATATGCGATAGGAGGCAGAAAACCTCTGCCCCAGTACATGAGGATGAGAGGAAGCCCCTATTGTCTGTGTTTGGGGATAAAAGCATTCAGCTCAGCTCTCTGGGGTCAAGTAGAGGCCTCTTCAAAAGACGTTGGGCTAGTTTTGCCTCCCCGTTCTTAGCTGCTCCTCACCCCCATCTCCTTCCTTGGCCCTTCTTCCTCCAACTAGGACTTCATATTCTAAGCACACTCCCTGCAAGCTTGCCTTCAAGCTCAGAGTTCCACCCCCAAGTCCAGTTTTGCGCAGCACAGTGACCCTGGAGTGACCCTAGGGCCTAAATTTCCCTCACTCTCTCTTTACTTCTGTTTGGGTATGTGAATTGTCTTTTAAGTAGGAAAAAGAAGAACATCAAGGTGACCAACCATCGTTAAGAGAGTTACTAAGATGCAACATTTTCAATACTAAAACTGGGAAAATCTTGGGAAAGCTTGGACAAATTGGTCAACCTAGTGACCACAGAGGAAGCTCTAGTGGCCTAGTGGGTAAGAAGGTGTGCTGCCAACCCAAAGGCAAGGTGTTCAAATGCACTAGTTGCTCTGTGGGGAAAAAATGGGTGGTCTTCTCCCACACATCTTACAGCCTCTGAAAACCTGCTGGAGAGTCAGCTGAGTAAATTCTGACTTGGCAGTACATAACAACACAACAACCATATGTGTGTACACCTGGATGGGTCCTAAAAAGAGCACATTCTTATATCCCAAAGCTCAAAAGTGTCACCATGTGAGCTGGGGAGGGCAAGTCAAGATAGCATTAAAAGGGGTCGGTGCCCAGCCCTGGCCTGACACAACCAGAGACTCAAGCCGCCTCAGTATAACTCGCCCACGAACCACCAGGGGGAGCACTTTTAAGCCATCGTCTGCTGGACACCCCGACTATTTCGCAGTTAGCAGCACGTGGCAGCCTGCAAGTGCGCAGTACTCTTTAACACAGACCATCACCTCCTTCACAGTCCTACTCCTGATTCAGGCGTGTGATAATTCTGTCCAGCCAGTCTGGTCAAAGAAAGGATCTCGCCAATGCTTAGGAGCGGTTGTCGTCGTTCTGAGAGCAGTGAAAAGGGTTGGGGAAGGGCAGGTCCAAGAGTAGGTTTTGGTGTCAAAGGTCCCATTCCTGACTGTCCCTCTCCAGCTTGCCCCTGGAGTTGCCATTGCTGTGGCCCTGCACCACCACATTCAGTCGAGGGGTAGCTCGGAGCTCCATGGTGCCCTCCCTAGAGCGGCCTCCGCCTAGACCCTCTCCAGAGCCCTCGAAAAGTCTCGTGAGAAAACGGGGACCTGCCCGGGGCAATAGGTCCCCAGCAGTGAACATGTAGAGCACAGGGTTGACGCTGGAGCTGAAGAAGGCTAAGGCTGTAGTCCCGGCCCGCGCAGCCTGGCCTGCCCCGCCAACCCTCGCCAAGATCTCATTGCCTGGAGCCAGCACAGCGACAGCCTGCAGAAGGTTGACTACGTGATACGGGGCCCAGAGCAAGCCAAAGGCAAGCACGATGGCGCTCACCAGCCGGCCCACTCGCGTCCGGTGCCGCCCCGTGCCCCAGCGGGCACCCCGCAGCCGCGCCAGGGTCACGCCGTAGCAGCTGAGCACCAGCCCGAAGGGAAGCACAAAGGCTGTCAAGGTCTCTAGGCCTAGGTGGGCTGCGGCGTGGTTCGACGTCGGGTAGCACAGTTGGCACACTTTGCCTGGCCAGAGGTCCCGGTAGATCGCGGCGGGGAAGGAGAGCAGCAGGGCGACCAGCCAGACTGCGAGCAGCAGGCGGCGGGCCAGGGCCCGGCTGCGCAGCCGGGGCGCCAGGAAGGGGCGGGTGACAGCGAGGCAACGCTGCAGGCTGAGCAGGGAGGTGAGCAGGACGCTGGCGTACATGCTGAGCGAGCACACGTAGTACACGGCCTTGCAGCCTACCTGGCCCAGGGGCCACACCTGCCCGGTCAGGAAGGCCACGAAGAACGGCGTGAGCAGCAGCACCGCACCGTCCGCCAGAGCCAGGTGCAGCACGAGCGTGGCAGCCAGGGGTCGGCCTCCTGCAGGCCGCCAGCCCGCCAAGCTCCACACTACGAAGCCATTGCCGGGGAGCCCTAGAAGCGCCGCCAGCAGCAGGAAAACGGTGCCTGTGGCCCTCGAGGCCTTGGAGCTCAGCAACGTCTGGTTCCCCGGAAAACTATAGCAGGACATTCTCGTGCTGTGTGGAAGGGCTGAAAAGGACCATAGAAGGTGTTTATGAGGGGGCCAAAAGCCTGGGCTATCTCTGACGTCAGAGGAGACGGGACTCTGCCTCCCCCCAGCACTTTGCAGCCTTACCCTTTTCTGTCTGGGAGCTATGACTCCCCTGGGGACCTCAGGCCCACGCACCCTTTACTCCTTGGAACGCAGATCTCCTGGTCCCAGACAATTGACCTTCCTACTCCTATGTTCTTCCCAGGGAGAGCCCCGTGGTGTCCAGACCTCCTATCCTGACTCCCAGGCTATCACCACCTCCACCCCTCCAGCAGCCTCTCCTTTGTGGAGGGGTAACAAAGGCACAAGAACGGATCCACTTACCCAGCTGGGAACAAAGTAGGGTCAGGAATCCACAAGCGGTCTGGGGAAGCTGAAAGACAGGGCAGCAGAGAGCAATGTGTCTACTCCTGTCCTACGCCTGTCACATTTGTAGAGGGTGAGGTGAGAATAAGGAGGGACAAAGTCTGGCTCTTCCTGCACCTTTTCTAGGGCCCCTCCCATACCCCACTCCTTCCCATTACTGACAGGCTTAGGCCTGTGAGAACATGCCTCCCCCATGAAACAGGATCAGCTGGAGCACAGCTAAGGCTCCCAGTCCTAGTCGATGAACACGGTCCCTGCTGAATCCTGACCTGAAGTATTGCCTCTGTTCAAATCCCCCCAACTTCCACCTTCTTGGGACTGGAAGATGCACTCAGATGTAAGGAGTTTATAACTTGGCTGGGGTGGTGAATTCACACAACTGTGTAGAGGCCACACACCCTGGCTGCACCAGGAATCAAGCAAGAATAAAGGAAAGGGGGCCATGGTAAGGAGCAGCCCTCTCCAAGAAAAAGTGGGGAGGAGAACGTGAAGGAAAGTCAGTAGTTAAATAATAGATATGGAGTAGGTTGGGCAGAAGGAGCTCTGTTGGCTCTGGTAAGGAGTTGCTCTGCCAACTCAAAGACACATGGTTCAAATCTATCAAATACTCTAAGGGAGATCAAAAGTTGGAAAATCTCCTCCAATGCAATTTGCCACCTCTGGAAACCCATTGGAGAGTGAGCGATGAGCTGGTTCCACTGCAGTGGTTCCTAGCAACAACAATCTGGGCAGAGACTCATGAGCACGTCCAGGACATCTGTTTCCTGAAACACCTTAACTGGTAGTCCTTCAATTCCTAGGGTATTAGTTTTTCACTAATGACTTCAGTGCAACTTGAACTTCCTCCTTCATTTGCATTCCCTGAAATGGCTCCGTTTTGACCTTCTCCTCACCACCACCACCCAGTGCAATGACTCTGTATATTCCTTCCATCCTCTTTTGATATTTCTTACGTCATTCAAGATAAGACCCAATAGAATGCCTTAGTATTGTAACTTGAGGCTTGAATTTGTTCTTCAATTCCTTTAGTTTGAGAAATGTCCAGTATTGCTTTTCCCTTTTGATCTCCTAACTCCATTCATTTTAATACTTTGAGAAAAGATTGAAGTTTCCAATTATTTCATTTTTTTGGATCCACAATCAACATCCACAGTAGCAGCAGCCAACAAATCAAAAGATGTGTTACACTGGGGGAATCTGCTATTAAGAACCTCTCCAAAGTTCTAAAGAACAAGTACATCAGTATCAAGACTAAGGAGCATTTGATGCAAGTCATAGTATTTTCCATTGCTTCCTATGCATCTGAAAGTTGAACAATGAATATGGATGATCGAAGAAAAGTCAATGCCTTTGAATTGTGGTGCCAGCAAAAATTAGTGAATATCTCATGGACTGCCAAGCGAACAAGCAATCTGTCTTTGAGGAAGTGTATCCAGAGTGCCCCTCAGAGGCAAGGCAGGTGATTTGCCACTCACTTTGGGCAAATTTTCAGGACAGAGATATCACACATCATGCTGGGGAAAGTAGATGGTCGGTGAAAGAAAGGGAGATCTCAACAAGGTGAACTGACTACCACAATGGGCTCATTGAGCATGACAGAGATTGTGAGGATGGTGCAGGATGTGGCAAGGTTCAGGTCTGTGGTTCAAAGGGTCGCCACGAGTCACTTGATAACACCTCACAACAGTAGTTTGGGTAAAAGGGAAAGCTAAAACAAATTTTAAAAGTAACAAGAACCACAAACACTTGATAACTACCCTGAGTATCTTCAGTGATAACTTATGACATGAGGCTTGGCACTCTTTTAAGTTAAAAAAAGAAAAATGCAGCCCTTTCTGGTAGAAAGGTCAGACAAAGCTTAGAAATGAAAAGATGTCAGAGGGAACTAAGAGGGAAAGGGAAAGAAAAGGCTCTGCCCGGGCAACACTGGTACTGGGGGCTCCTTAGAAACCAGAACACAGGAGCATTGGCCAAGCCGAGTCGCAGTCAAGGGCTTGTTTACAGGTAATCACATAAGTACATGGTCAATTCAAGGACTAGGAATGAAGGAGCAGGTTAAGATAAAGAGGAATCGGGAACCTCCTGGCAGCTTGCAGAAGGCTTTCCAGAAAGAAAATTGGGGTTTTTACTCATCTCAGTTCCCACTGCCTGAGGTTTATCCAAGGGTATTAAGTCCTATACACACTTCCAGCTGCTTCTTGTCAGGGCCTGAGGGACGTGCTTTGGCTTCAGACAAGGCTTCAGGGCAGGAAAGCAAAAAAACCTGCACTCATTTGAGAGGTTCACTATCAGTGAGAGGCTGAGCTTCCACACATCTGTCCATTATAGTAACACCAATCTCTGAAATCAGAGATGGATAAAGGGCACCAAACGTTGAAATCCTGAAGACATCAAAGGAAGGTCCTGCCATATTTCCCCCCATATCTCTTGCAAATATGTTAAATGGTAGAGGATGAAGGTGAGAAAGAAGGTAACTATGCATCAGAGAGCTGGACAATGACTAGGGAGGATAGAAGGAGAATTGATGCTTTTGATCTGTGGTGTTGGAGAAGAGTATTAAATATACCAAGGACTGCTAAGAAAATGAACAGGCTCATCCTGGAGAGGATTAAGCCATGCTGCTCCTTGGAGGCAAGGATTCTGAAGCTTCATCTGACATACTTTGGATGTGTTGCAAGGAGGGACCAGTCCCTGGAGAAGGATATCATACTTGGGAGGGTAGAGGGACAACTCAGGAGAGGAAGACTCTCTATGAGGTGGATTGATTCAGTGACTGGGGTAATCGCGGTAGGTGTGTCAGAGACAGTGAGATTGGCACAGGACAGAGCAGGGGTTAGGGCTATTGCAGGACTCAACGGCACATAACAGCAACAACAAAAACATGCGTGGCTAAAACAGACAGTTCTGGTGAGGAGGCCGAAGGAATTAATGTTGAGCCAGCCCCTCACCTGGACTAAGGAGGAAAGGGGAGGAACAGGAAGGTCAGGTTCCCAAACAGAATTCTGGTGACTAGATTCCAAATGACCTTTTGCTTTCTTCATGGACAATATCCTTGATCCAGTGAATAATCCACTGCTTGTACAAAATTCAATCATCCTGTGTCTAGTCCCATTTCTGTCACCAATTCTGTAATATCCAAGGCCAGGGAACTCTGGTGGCCTAGTGGTAAGAAACGGCACTGCAATCCAAAAGTCATACTGTTCAAATCCACTAGCTGCTCCATGGGAGAAGGAAGGGCAATCTCTCCTTGTGCGATTAACTGCCTCTGAAAACCCACTGGAGGGTCAGTTATGAGTCAGTTCTGACTTGATGGTACTCAACAACAATCTTTAATTTTCCAACTTTGCATTTCAGTCACCAATTATTATTAATGAATTTTGACCTGCAACTTCTGACTGCAAAAATTGGTAGAAATCCTCAATCTCTTCATCTTGGGCTTTAGTTTTGGGGGCATATATTTTAATAATAGTTGCAGGATCAGGTTGTCCTTGAAGCTCTGGTAGTCTACTGGTAAAAGAGTATGCAAAGGTTCCAAAAGTATGTAGTTCGAATCCACCAGTTGCTCCATTAGAGAAAGATAGGTAATCTCCTCCCATGTGATTAACTACCGCTGAAAACTCACTGGAGGATCAATTCTGGGTTGATTCCAATTTAGTAACACACAACTACGACTCCTCTTTGTATGTGTATGGATAGTATTCTATCACAATATTGTACTTCAGAATAAATCTTGAAATGATCTTTTTTTTACTATGAAAGCAATATCATTCTTCAATTTTTCATTCCTGGCAAAATAAGTCTTAGGATTGTCTGATTCAAAGTGGCAAATACCAGTCTATCTCAGCTCATTAATGCCTAGAATGTAAATTTTTATGCATTCCATTTCATGTTTTACAACTTCCAATTTTCCTGGTTTCACCTTTGAGGCATTCCATGTTCCAATTATCAATGGATGTTCACAGCTGTTTCTCCTCATTTTTGTGTGTTAGGGCTATATCTTTTCTCCATACCTATTCAGGATGTGTGCTGAGTAAATCATTCTAGAAGCTAGACTATAAAAAGAAGAATGTGGCATCAGGATTGGAAGAAAATTAATCAAAACCCAGCATTATGTGGATGACACAATTTTGCTGGCTGAAAGTAAACAGGACTTGAAATGCTTGCTGCAGAAAATTTGGCCTTCAGTTTGCATTACATCTCAACATGAAGAAAACAAAACTCTTCACCACTGAATGAATAGACAACATCATGACAGATGAAGAAAGATTGACTTTGTCAATAGCTTCATCTTACTTGGATCCACAATTAATAATACTCTTGATGCCTGATTTCAATCAAAAGTCATGTTGTATTGGAAAACTCTGCTGTCAAGGATCTTGCCAAAGTGCTAAAGAGCAGCAATATATGTTTAAAGACTAAGGAGCACCTGACCGAACCCACGGTCCTTTCAATTATTTCTAGGCATCTGAAAGTTGTGTGTGCATTTGACACATCCACTTCAGTAAATAGCTTGCCTTCAGAAACCCTATGAACCTGGAGAAAGAATGAAAAGTCGCGCATGCAAGTGTAAAGGACTTTTGTTCAGAGGGTCGCTATGAGTGTCCTATGACTTGATGGCACTGAACAACAACATCTGAAAGGTGGACAATGAATAAGGGTGACAAGAGAATTAATGATACCTTTGAGTTGTAGTGTGGGGTAGAGTACTAAATATCCTACAGACTGCCAAAAGAATGAACAGTCCTGTCTTGGAGGGAGTGCAACCAGGGTGCTCCTTAGAGACAAGGATGGTGAAACTTCCTCTCACATACTTTGGGATTTTGTTAGAAGGGGCCAGTCCTTGGAAAGCTATGAATCAGGCTTGGAAAGGTGGAGGGTCATCCACCACAGGGTGGGTCAATACTGTATCAGTGGGCTCAAGTACATCAGATAAGGATGCCACAAGATAGGGCAAAATCCAGAGCTGTTCTTCATAGCATCACTATAAGATGGAGTTGATTCCATGGCACCTAACAACAGGTTTCAAAGAAACATTCTGACTTCAGTGGACAGAGGCAAAGCCATATTCTCCTCCCACCATGTGCAAGCACACTCTTTTCCTCCAAGCTCTACTCCTCTGCTCTGTTTCCTCTTTCTCAGACTCACCTCACTTTCCCTAATGCTGCTACTTACAGTGCTGCCAGAAGCATATACAGCGCCCCTCTGATAGACTGTCCGTTCTTACAGTATCTGAAAACTCATTGCCATAGATTGTTTTCAGCTCAGAGCCAACATTCCATCAGGTTTTGGAAGCTATAAATCGCATGGGAGGAGGTGGCCCACGTTTCTTCCTCAGAGCTGATGGTGGATTTGAACAGCCAGAGACCTGCGGCCTTTGGTTAGCTGTGCAATTCACTATAGACTATACTGCCAGAGCTCTAGACCAAGAAAGCAATATTCCTTCCAAAGAAATAAAAGCATGCCAACCTCTTAAGTAGCTTCCATTTACTCTCAAACAACAGAACACACCTGAGATAACAAAAAGGCTTCTGTGGTAAACTCGGCCTCCATTCCTCATCTAATACCTCATGTTGGCCCCTCCCCTTCCCCCTCCCCTTGGACTTTGTCCTTTTAAATTAGACAGTGGGGTTGGGGATTGGCTCATTCCTACTTGACTATCACTGAATCCCTAGCTTTGTAACAGAAAACACCACTTCAGGTCCACCAGAGCAGAGCCCAGTCCCCAGCATACCAAGGAGCAGCACCCTTCTATTTCTTCCCTCCACCATGGAGTACCTCTCCTCCCTGAACCCAGGGAGCCTACTCAGGTGATCTCTAATTTTCCCCTCTATCTTCTAACTGGGGGTGTGGCTGGGATAGGAAACCCCATTCAGCCCTCTGGACACTTACGTCCCCTTCCTCTCCTTCCCACACCTCCCCAGCACTGGAAAAACCACAGGCCCCATTATCTCTCATGATTTCACCTTTTGCTTTTCTGATCATCCAACCTAGATCCATCCCTCCCTCTGGCTATCCCAACCAACCCTCTCACATTCCTCCTTCTCCTTCTTGACCTTTCTTACCAAAAACCAGGTCAGTAGCCAACATGAGCTCTGAGGTTGGCCAGAGGCTGTTGAACTCGGCTCCACCACCCCAGAGACCTTTCCGGGTCTGTGATCACAAGAGAACCACCAGGAAAGGTCTGACAGCCGCCACCCGCCAGGAACTGCTAGACAAGGTGAGTGGACCAAGTCCCTGGGTTCCCATTGCAGGGGCAGACAAGAGGCTAGAGAACAAGGAGAATGAGAACTTGAAATGCTGGAACAGAAGGGGCTGAAATAACATGGCTGCCCTTGCTTCTTGCAGCTAAAGGAGAGTGAATCAAATGCCCTCTACTATATTTGGGTACATTTGTTTAGAATGGGGGTGCAGTGCAGTAGAGAGGGTGGACTAGAGGGATGAATGGAACTCAGGTAACTATAGAATGGAGGTCTGTATAACAAGTCAAGGTCAAATCCTGATTCTGCCACTTCTTAGATGTCAGGCCTTGAGAACCTATTCATCCTATCAAGGACTATTTGAGAGAACCCGAAGATGTTTGCAAACTACTACAAAGACTATTGGCACAATATTGTTG